TTTAACACTCTGCATGGTGAGCCAACTGGATATGCCGCAGAGGTCCCGGTTCAGTGGGGTGAAGTGAAACACAGGTCATTGAACACTGGAGCGACCGACAATGCACAAAGCGCCTTCGCTACGAACTGCCGACAAAACTCGCCAAAAATACGTTATGCACGAAAGAATATCGGATCCGTAAGTGCTGGCTAAGGCGTTGGCTTGCCAAAAATTGGGATCACTGATGTTCAGGACGAGACTGGCAAACGGCAAAAGGATTCCTGGCTCATGCAAAGTAACCAAGATTTCCACTGTATCAGCAGCTCCATGACAAAGGCTACTAAGTATATCACTTATCAGCACCTATCACGAAACTACACATGAAGACTGGCGCCCTAAATCTAGCATGTTTTACACATTCTTACTTTACAAAGTGACTCATGACGCACTTGATATTCGAATCGACCAACCCAAAATAATTAACCTACAAATTGATTCAAATTAAAGGTGGTATTTCACCATCAATTATACAGCAGTAACTTTAACCAGACCAATCATCCAAGTCAAGCCTTAAATTCAAGAGCACATTGAAGATGCTACGGTTATATGATCTTAACTAAAAAACTTGTTTGATATTGTAAGCTGTAAGCCATAAAGATGACAGTCATTATCGATCTGATCGATAAAGGTCCCTTCAATGCAATCAACCCTTTACTACTGTAAACTGTACATTGTTTTCAAACCTACAATATTTAAAACTGCAAAGAAACGACCATTTATATAAAAAAAAACTTCCAAAAATATTCCCTTTGTTGAAAAACAAATAACAGCCTGAGTTACTGAAAAAATATCTTTTCAAAGGATGTGCTACATTTAATAAACAGTAAACAAATGCAAACCCACCTGTCACAGTACATTTCTATTTTTCACTGCCGTACATACGACAATTCAAATTCATAAGCTGAACACCATTCGATATTCATTTAATACTGTAGCGAAATTAATCGGCAAGTACATTCCAATAACAGATTTTTTCTCATTTTGCTCCATTCCCGCAAAAGGAGGGTAAAAGGCGAATGGCAGTGCTAATATCATCTATTCAGAAGTCGGTCAATAAACTTTGCATCATTATTTACGTTCCGTCTAAATGCCTGTGTTGATGGCTTCCATCACATCAGTGATTCAAATTCCAAGTTTGGCTGTTCCGCTCCGTAAGTAGTCTATTTTCGTGTGCATTTGGGATTGTTTGATCATTTTCCTTAGATTTTCGGCTGTGTTCTATTTCTAAGTTAGTTTCTTATTGTCTTCTGCTCATTTTGCTTTGTTTCGGTCGCCATATTTGTTACGCATTTTCTGACAGTCTGCATGCTTTCTGCAAGTTATTTCCATTCTTTCCTGATCTTATTTGCGGTTTCTTCTCGTTGCTTCTTCACGTTACAATAAAATGATATTTTAAACTATCTATATGTAAGAAAAATCAAAAAACGTTCTGATTAAAAGGTCTGTTCAGACTACGAATATATCAGGTCGTGTCAGTAGGTTATTTTTCTGTCTCTGTTCTCTCTCATTATTCTTGAGTTCGAACTTTAAACTTCCATGAGTTCCTTTGTTTACATACATTGTCGTATGTCTGTCTTATTTCTTACGGCCGCCGTATTGTTACGTATGTTCTGATCTTGTTTGCTGTTGGTGCGTTGTGTTTTTCGCCTTTATTCTGTCTCATTTTATTCACGTTCGAACTTTAAGATAACGTAGCTGCTGCTACGTACGATGTGCTGTTATCTTGGTTTTCTTTGCTTCTTCCAGAAGTTTTTCTTTGAGTTACCCATCAGTTATTTTTGATAAGCTAATTTCTTCTCCTTCGTACACTCTTGGCGCCCTTCATTATTGCTTAGTGTTTCATTTTCATTATTGTTTACTGCAACTGTTGACCAGTCATGCCTTACCCAAGCATTCTTTTCTGCACAGCCAGTGGTTGTTTGTCCCATGGACTACGCCTTACGTGTTCTCTTGTTTGCATTCTGTCTCACTTGAAATCCGTAAGCTCCCTTTTACTGCGTTTGTTTGTTTTCCTTAGTCTAATTTTCTAGGGCTTTCCGGAGTTTTCCTTTCACTAATTCTTTCCCTAAGTTACTTTTCTCTGTTCCATATGTTATGTTCTTGATTTTGTCATGACCTTGTTTGTACTCTAACCACTTGTTTACTTTACCTACTCCTGCTGATTTGTGCGTCCGCTGCTGAACTTCCGCATCTTTTGTTTCTCGCCGAGAATAATTTCTTGTGTTACAGATGTTCACTCTTTGCTGAGTCTTGTTTTTATCACTATATTTGTTTTCTTTTGCTTAGTGTTTAATACGGTTGTTGTCTCGTCGAGGGTATTCTGATTCTCTTGTTTTTAGGCATAAACAGTTCCTTCTCACCCCTAAATTATACTCGTTGCTACGTATTCTGCCATATTCCAGCTTAAATCCGCACTTATTTTTGATTACAATGCTGTGACAGTGCATTGTTTTTTCCTAGCTCTTTCGTACCTTGTTTTCGATGATTTCCCATTCATAATTTCTTTTCAGAAAAGTATTTTCTTACTCGTTTGCGGACATTTTTATCACGTTGTTTGATTTTCTGCTCTTCATTATGAAGGTGTCTGGTAGGACGTTTGTAGCCCATCGTCCTGGTTTTTGCTCTTCGTATAGTACTTCACAGACGCTCGCTTCTCAGGGCTTCTATCCTACGCTTACTTCAACTAAACCTGTCTTTATTTCAGGCGTGCGCTGTAAATTTTTTTATATTGCACTTTTTATTTGTAAACAGAGCTGAAGTTTGACATGGCTGTTTTGCATGCGCTAGTTTTAATCACTGTTGCAATCACAGATGTGATGTATACACATACATGTATGCCAAACTTAATTGATTTTCGCTTACATGCTGTTATGAAACTAGTTTGTATATGTGAACGGAAAGGTTACTGTATGTAACCCTGCACAACACAAATGAAAGAAAGCCAAGCAACACAAACGGACAGCTTATGCGGCGCTCCCAGGTTTGTACTCCTAAAATATCGTTTGTACTGGAAGTACGTTACAACAGTAGAAACTTTGCGAGCATTCCCTTAGGACTCTTGCAGGATTCGATTTTCGACTCGTCTCTCACGTATGCCTCGGCATGTGCTGTTAAATGTACGTGCATCAGAGAACCGCTTTGTCGCTTCGTCTTGATCAAGAAACTGAGTCATCGGGAAGCTGCTGAAATCATGAACGGATAAAAGAATTACTTCGTAAAATTACCGGTCTGTGAAGTCCTAGCATTTTCGTTGGAGTCACCATGGCAAGTAAAATTTCTCTTATGGAGATTCGGCTTCTCCAAGTTGAATTGACCATTTAGTAAACAAAAAGTTCTTTTTAAAAAATGAGTAAGCGCGGGCTTCTAATGCATTGGAAAACGTAACATTTTCTATCATTAAGGGCAAATTTCTTTCAGCAACGAATTCATGTTGCGGTGATTCAGTACATTCAGCTAAAATAAATAGCTAAGAAGGTGAATGAAGACAATCCACAGAAATTGCAAGCGATAACCGTATATTTTTATATGTACGCTATGAAAAAGTACTGTAATCAAATATCAGAACGAATCGGGTTTCCCTGACACGTCAGGTTCCTCGTCAGCACACTGACTAGTAAATGCAATGATATTTGAAACTCGGTTATACAGATTTAAAAGCCGTTGATCACCTATAAAATCAATGATCGTTTCGTCAAAAGATTTTGTGCTTTCGATTCATGGAGTGTTATGAGTCCATGATTTCAACGAACTTTCCAAACTTTTATACTTAACTAATCATGGTCGCCGGGGGTTCCAGATGCAGCCTTGTGAATACCGTTGTTTTAGATTGAAGCGATACACTTGTTTCAGTCTTGCGAAAGTTTCACGAATAAGCGATGACCTTCTTATGCGGAAGTGGTCACATCATCTGTCATGTCGTGGTAAAATCTCATGCTATGTTCGATCAGCTATTCCTGCTCTTCCACAAGCTTGTCTTTGTGCTTGCAAGCCGTAAAGTGCTTTGCTGTGTTTATGCAGTGGCCATGATGATTAGTCGATGCGCGTAGCGTTACAATTAGGCGAATTGGTTCGACATACCGCAATCGGATCAGGGCTGCCGGGAAGAAACAGAATCGGAACGTCAAATCTTGTACTGTAGGCAACAGTTACTAAAACAACCGTCAGCACCATAAGTGACTGAATTCTGTGGTCAGTTTAGACTGTCGTTCTGCCTTTGCCCCGTTTGAATGACCAGTCCATATTCAACGCACCTTTTCAGACACATTCGGTCGATTGTTCCAGAACAATGATAAGTTCGTTCCTCTGTGCACAAAATTTGCTTCTGATGCTTCGTTCGATTAGCGATCGTTTGTGCAAACTGATTTAGATTCAGACTTTCGTCTAAACATCATTTTATTTGATATTCATGTTCGGATGCACGGCTGGCATTGAGTCCTACCTCTCTGCATGAGAGCGTTCAGTAGTTCTACGATGACTCCAAACATCAGATTGGAATCTCAATAGCACTGTGCTTGACTGTGAATTGAAGGGCCATTTTTCAACATAACGTGGATGACGCGAATTTTTGACAAGCTGAGACGTTTCTTTCCACTGATTCAAGTAGGCTGTGGACAAATGAGATATGACAGGTGACGACCATATGAAACTGAATCTTACATGTAAAAAGATACCTGTTTTTCGCTTCGTATATGACTCTTTTTAAAAATAGCACGCAGACAAACCTCTAAATTTAAAAATTAAATTTTAACTTTGTACAAAATCACAAACATCAGCATTACATACAATGTAGTAATCATTCGAGGGAGGCAAATACCGGTCAGTCACACAATGTGCCAGAGTACAATTTTACCAACTTGACGAATGGCCAGCTGGTCAACGGGTGCTTTTGAATTTTCATGTCAAAATGGCGAATTGTCATCATCGCCAGTCGTACTCAAAGAAGTTTCAGAAAACAGCGATTTTTAAAAAGCGACATGGCCTTCATTTGACTTCAATTCAACACCGTCGTCAGGAGAACGAAACGTTGACTCGTTGAAGGCTTTTTGATTTTCGTCACATTCATAATCATTTAAACGTTTCTTATCAGAATCAATCGTAATCAGACTGGTATGACTGCTACAGTGCTTCAACAACATGGTGCCTTCGCCGTTGTGTTCCTCGACATTTCGATCGCGTTGCAAAGGCTGTCGATAACCGTCGCTGCTGCGAATGTTGAAACGTGAGGAAAACGGATCTTCGGCAATCGCCGAATATGTCGCACCGTCGACGTCGATATGCTCGTCGAAATCGTCATCACCGGCATCGGCAGAAATGATGCTGATTTTTGGAACTTTTATTACCGGTTTTGTATTCGCCAGCTCTTCGGGTGATATTCGGGGAAGTTGACTGGTTTTCGGGTCAATGAATATGACCTTTGGTGAAGGTAACTTATACAAATCCCAGTTAAAGCTAGCCAATATCTTGTTCCAGTATTTTTGCTTTATTTTGTGCTGGCGCATAACTCGAAAACGATAGCTGATCGTGAACGTACGCAAACGATTCACTTGCCGACGGTAGCTGTCCCAAAGACGTTCCATCTGCTTGCTGCCGTACTCCCAAACCCGCCCTGCCTGTTGCGCATAACCTTCCCTGATGAAATCTATATGCTGAGTGACGGCATCGATCTGTGCCGTTCGATAATCCCTGAATCTTTCCGACTGTTGCGTATAACCTTTGCGTAGCTGCTCCAGCTGTTGACGGTAATTCTCGCAGATCTGTTGAATGCCGGTCGTGTACTTTTCGTACAGACTGTCCATCTGACGCTGTCGACAGCGCTCCATCGCTTCTAGAATGTTCTGTACTCGGCCGGTACGTTCCACCTTCGCCAAGTGCCAACCGACAAGACGTCTGATGAGCAGCAACGTAATATTGAGGATAAAGAAACACAAACTGGTAAAAATGCCCACAAACACCGCGTAGATCTTAATCTGCCGCCAAACCGCATAGTCCAGACGTACAAAATACGACCTGCTA